TTCAACTTTAATTAATATTGAATTTTTCTTTTTTTGAATTTTTAAATTTATTTATTTTTTTAGAACTTTTATATAAATTTCAGAATTTTTTCCAGAATTTCTATAATATCCCAGACATCACAAAGTACTAAAAAGATAACGAAAAGAAGTCTTTGTTAAGTTTTCTTTTTGACAAAGCGAAAAGGTAACTTAAAAAAGACATTTTTTACATTAATATTTTAGAATTTCTGTGACGTGTAGATATTAATACAGATAATAACTACATAATTATAATAACTATATATACATATAATATATATTATAAACATATAAAATTATTATATAAAATATTTTAAAATTTTTATAGAAAATTATTCCTACATTTTTTTAATGAATTTTTCATTTTTCCACATAACATAGGACAGTTGCACATCTTCTAGTTGTTTTTTTATATATAGGACATCGCTTAGAGGTCTCTATAGCCGGTATTCATAGTCAGATCTTATATTCAAGACCGCGTCTTAAGTACGGTCTTAAGAAGTCACGAACCAATCAGAGGGCTGCATCAGAGTCTTAAGACATCTTCAGATCGAACTTAAAGCGATCTTAAATATAAGAAACGACTATGAATACCGCCCTATAACTGAAATGGTTACTAAAGAAAATTTTTTAATTTTTTAAAAGGTACTAATCATTATAAATATTACTTATCAATTAATTTAATTTGTGATATTACTACTCCAGCTTAGGACTACTTTAGTTTAGGATTGCGTTCCAAGATCAATAATTATATATAAACAATCGGCGCGCAGTTTGCTTTATAATTAGAACAGAAAAACAAAAAATATTATTATAAGCACGAAGATACACCTTGATCGAATATGGCGGTTTCTATTCGTTTGTGTTATAAAATCTGAAAAAAATTAAATTATTTTTTCAAAAATTTTAACTAATAAGTTTCAAATATGACAAATTCTTAAAAATATAAGATATTATGTGAATTTTTTCCCCAGGAAAATGAGACGAATATATTTAATTAGACATTCGAGAAAAAAAAAAGTATTTTTCTATTCATCTATGTTTATCTTTTTTACGATCTTTTTTTTTCTCTCCAAAAGTCATGAATTATTGCGTCTCCGACTATTCCGATTTCTTTCGGCTTTTGCTAACTCACTTGTAATTTTTTATTAATGCCCTGCATAATTTCGTCCGAGCTTATCGTTCTTTTTTTTTACGTCCGAGCTTATCGTTCTTTTTTTTACGTCCGCGCTTTCTTTCGGGTTAATTTTTCCCATCGTCCTCTTCTTGCTCTGTCTCGCTTCGACCTTTCACCCGTTCTAGTTCCTTTTAGAGTGGGATTTCATTTATGCGTTTTTGTCGTACGACAAATGTGTGCAGAGGCTATTCTTGAACAAATATTGCATACGAAAATAGCAATTCCGTATACAATCGACCAATCACAATCGAGAAACTATCATTTTCGTATGTGAAAATTATTCGTATGTGCTCAAGAATAGGGGTCTTGAGACCCTATTCTTGAAAAGTATCGCATACGAAAAACTAGAGAAATGCTATAGTTATGTAACGCATACTATAGTATTTCCTCAGTTTTTCGTATGCGATACTTTTCAAAAATAGGGTCCTTGAGGATAAAGAGGTCCTCGAATCTTTCTATCCTATAGCCAATAAACAGGCTTAAAAAATGTGTTGTATGATAATAACGCACAAATAAAATCCCACCCTTTAGCTGAACTTCTTGCACCGTTCGTCTCTTTCTTCATTTTCACGTGAAAAGGAAAAAGAGGAAAGATGAACAGTGTAAAAAATTCGGCTGAAAAAACCAGACCATTGTACTCCAACGAGCACGCGCAGATCAGCTCAGACCGAAACTGTTGCGCGCGTTTTGTATGTGGACGCGTGCCTAACCTTAACGACAGTTCTTGGAGAATTGTTTAACTTTATTGTTTAACTTTATCATGAAAATTTGGGCAAAATCATCTGAAAGGCAAAAGAATTGATATCCAGGCGTCGTGAAATTTCAAGGAGAGATTGAAGAAGTAAAAATCCCACCAATCTGTGGGAATTGCTCCGAAAAAGAATCTCAGAAAATCGATGCTCCGACACGGAGGAAAGGAAATTTCTTGATAGGGATTGTGAATCGTTACAAAATTTGATCCTTTTGCCTCATCCTTGTAGTTTAATAGACAGTCCGGTTCGCGATGAGCACGTACAGTTCGATCTCAAACGGGGATCTTTTCAGAAACTTAGCATTTCTAGAAAACCGATCGTCGGTCGACACCAAGCATCTACAGCTTTTCTCAATTTACGATGGTAAAGAAAATGTGTTTAGTTATATAGTTATGGAGTTTATACAGTTATAAAGTTGCGGGGTTTAATTATATAGTTATAATTGTGGAATCAATTATACATTTATAGTTATGGAGTTTAATTATACAGTTAGGAAATTATGGAGTTATAATTATACTGTTATTAAGTTATGGAGTTTGATTATATAGTTATAAAGTTATGAAATTAGTTGCACAGTTATGAAGTTATGGAGTTTAATTATATGGTTATAAAGTTATGGAATTAATTATATAGATATAAAGTTATAGAATTTAATTATACAATTATACAGTTATTATCTATATTACGGAAAAGTTATGAAATTATACAATTAAAAATCCACAGGACATGAACTCTAACATTACATCAATAATTTTGTACTCAATAATATAACTGATATATCACATGTATTATATCGCAACTTATTTATAGTTATATTATAATACAACATGTATTATATCACATTTATATTATTAAGTGGTAAATTATAATATTGATGTAATGTTACTATTAGTTTATATTTTTTGAGAAATTTCATTTCAAGTAATATAACTCCTTTATAGTTATCAATTATAACTAAAGCTTTCTGTTGTAGAAAACAATGCTATTCTTGGAGGCACTAACATGGTCGACCTTTACTGGAATGGTACTCTCTGGTACTACAAGGATATCTCGGACTTTTCTCGAAAGAAAGCCGCCATAAAGCAACGGATGGACAGCGGCGTTTGTGATTCCGCTTACCTGAACGAGAACACATTTGTTATTGTGGAAGACAGTGGTGCTGTGCGGGTTTATCAAGCAGTTGAAATAGACGAGCGTTATGAGTTACAGCTTCTCGGATATGTATGTCAGCATGACGACAGCATCCTGTCGGTATCTGTATTTTCCAATCAGAGAAACATTGTCACAGGAGGAATGGATTGTTGGTAAGAAGTTTCTAAAATAGATGATATTATGAGCTAAAAAAGAAATTATTAGAAAAAAATATTAAATCGTATGGAGCTGATGCTAAAAAAACTGAGTCTGTAACTAAAAGCTAAGAATAAAGGAATTATCTTGCTAATATTCTTATTAAAATAAACTTAGTATTTATTCTTTTTTACACAGTTATATCATTTTGATTTCTTGAAATTAATTAGTGCCTTTTAATCAACATCTGTTACATGGTTACATTTGTTTTCTTTAAAAAGTCTTTAATTTCAAAGGACAATTACAACTTTTAGATGTAAAGTAAAGAAAATTTAATTGTTTGAACATTTTTGTGTAAAACGGCACATTGCTACAATAGATACAAAAATTAAGAACTAATAGTAAATTCAAATATAATAATATACTTTTTATCTTAATAATGCTTCACAGAGGAAACTGAATTATTTTTACTGGAATAAGAATAATTTTTATTCAAACAATTAAAACATAGTGGATCTAGTAAGCCCACTGTCAGCTCCAGAATAATATAATTGAGCGAGTTCAATAGACTTATGTCAGCTAGAGAGAGTTTGTAATCTTATGCTTATTTCAGCTTAAAAATGTGGGACGTAGAGGATTTAATCGCGACATATTCGTATAGCTTTGCACATCTGGACATAATCACTGGTACAGACGTGAAGCCTATGTGCAGTTCTGTATTTGTATCCGTCTCTTTAGATAGCGAATCACTACTATGGGATATTAGACGAGCCAAACCGGCGAGTTGTACGTATATTTAGTTTTTTTTTCTAATATCTTCAAATTTATTACGTTTTTTAAAAAATAATTTTCTTTATTTTTCAAAGGTATCTTCAAGAAAAATGATTGCCCCTTAACAGCAGTATCTTGGAATACTACTTTGGAAAATATCGTAGCAATAGGTACAGCTGAAGGCGGCATTGCAATAATTGACATTAGGCAAACAGAAACTCCGTTATGCGAGTCGATCAAATGTGATAGAGGTGTACACAAGCTGTTATTCAATCCAACTCCAGAGAGGTGAGAATTTATCAGAAATATCAATTTACTTATCTGTACAATATATAGCTCTTATACAGAATATTTCTTACACAATATACTCTTTCGACGATAATAAATTTATGATAACTTATCTATTTTCCAGGAAAGAACAGTTAGCGTGCTGTTTTGATAATACATCGGTAAAAGTACTTGATACCCAAAAAGAATTGATGCAGATATACGAAGATAATAATCACCAAGATT